CTAAGGGCTGTTTTACTCAGTTTAACCAGTGTGTCTAAGGGCTGTTTTACTCAGTTCAACAGTGTGTCTGAGGGCTGTTTTACTCAGTTTGACCAGTGTGTCTGAGGGCTGTGTTAACTCAGGTTAACTGTTTGTCTGAGGGCTGTATTAACTCAGTCTAACTGTGTGTCTGAGGGCTGTGTTAGAGGCAGATTCAGAGAGAGACAGAGTGATGTCCAGCAGTCCTAATGCACCAGTGATGTATGCAGACCTGAAGACTGAGACAGTACAGTGGATTCCTCCTCAAGCAAACCCAGCAGGTACTGGACCCCGCCGGGAGCCAAACAAGCTGAAACCCACACGCAAAACTGTATGCTAAGGGCTTGTGATTTACTTTAGGACTGACATCATCCCTGACTCACCAGCACACAGACATATGACTGATCAGCAACGTCATCACGGTGCCGCCTTCCCACTTCCCCTGTTACTTCAGGGGTTGAAATTGTACTTCCAGCAGACGAAACACCGACAAGAAAATACACTTTCAGCCTGAGTTTGTGCCAGTGAAATAAACAAGCATGACGACTTTCATCCTCCTTCAGCGCTGCCTGGCGATGATGTCACGTGTGGCCGTTCTCTGCAATGGCATGATGAGGCACGGTGTCAGCGTGACATCAGACCAGCCGCGCGCGCTCCGTCTGGACAGAATTCCCAGGCGCTGGGAGGAATGATTCAGGACACTAAGTGGAAACTGATCTGAAACTCCCCCTCTGTGAGGGCCACACTCACGACTGGCTGCTTCTTCCCTCCCTACGCAGCAGCCAGGCCTCCTGAGGACCCCATCGCCCCCCCGCAGAGGCGTCCGGCGCGCTGCCTGCCCTGGTGCCTGCTGGTCCTGCTGTGTGTGGATGTGTGCCTGCTGCTCGCCGGGCTGTGCTGTGGTGAGTGGCGACTGTGCACTAGTGAAGAGCACTGAAGCTCAGTCTTGCACACTCATTAGGTATAGAACAGGCCATGGGGAACCAAGTGTGCCAAAAAACTTAATATGAGCAAGAGAAAAAAAACTTGGAAATAGAAATGATGTCGTGCCAAATTACAGAAAGCACAATGACTTCCGTTTTGCTGCTCATTTCACCTGTTCAGTACAGGCTGATGACTGATTGGTGCTCTAACTGATGGGGTGATGGGTTGACCTCAGTTTCAGGTATGGCGGCCCAGCAGCTAGCTGTGAGTGGGGATCTGACTGCATTGAAATTGCAAGGTAGGAGCTGCCATCATTTGTGCATCTGTTTCCACGTGGCTGTGTGTATCTATGTGTGTATCCATGTGTGTGCTTGTGTTTGTCTGTGTCTGTATGTGCATCTGTGTGTATCTGTGTGTCAATCTCTGTCTGCATGTGTCTATCTCTGTGTGACAGTCTCTGTGTGCATGTGTCTGTGTGTGTCTATCTCTGTGTGTGCATGTGTCTGCATGTGTGTGTCTCTGTGTGTGTCTATCTCTGTGTGTGCATGTGTCTGCGTGTGTCTGTCTCTGTGTGTGCATGTGTCTGTGTGTGTCTGTTTGACGGTCTCTGTGTGTGCATGTGTCTGTGTGTGCGTACTCTGTCTCACCCCTGCCTGTGTTTCCCAGTGGATTCCTCATTCCAAATGGCACAGAGGACCATCAGTGACTTACAGGAGGACTGGGATACAAGGCTGCACACTGGTGAGGCTCAGGCCCGTCTTGCAAGCCAGCCTGTCTAGGGGGGCGCCAGTCCTGGCGCTGGAGTAGAGCAGGGTCCCGGAAGGCCCGGTGCTGTCCTTCACTGTCGCCCTGCTGGCCTGCTGAGGGAGCGAAGGTTGTAGGGATGCAGGCGTACCTGCTGACGACACAGGGAATCCTGGTCACAACCAGGTCAGGCAGGTCACCGCGTTCAGCCTCTCTCTGATGCCCAGATCTCATCCAGCTGCTCCTGGAAGGACCTCCTGTGGGCTCTGTCCATCCTCGGACACTGGGGTCTCCCGCCAGCAGCCCCCCCTCTCCTGAGAGGACACTCTGAGCGGACACGGGGTGCAGCCCTGCCGCAGTGACCTTTCCCCCCAGTCCACTGTGTCCCAATTGCCACCCGGTTCTTAATTGATTAATTGTATCAATTAAACATAATGAAAGTTCTCAACTGAATTTTGTCAATTGGAATTTGAGGTTATAAAGGTAAACATTAGTTCAAACAGTGTCTTTAAAAGTAGTCACCTCCTGGGGTTTTTTCTAAAATGTATTTAATTCCCTTCCAAATAACTTCCTTTCTTTATCTCAGCTTCTCTCCAGAAGATCCGCAATGTTTCGGATGTCCTGAGGCAATCCAGTAAGTCTCTCCGGAAGAGCGCACTCTTTAATGAGTCTTCGGGTTAATGAGGGAGAGCCGCTGATTGTTAAATGGGTGTGAAATTTGTATTTATTGGAGCAGGTTAAAACAATTTTAATTATAGTTTGAGGTATTGCTGTGCCCACATCAGTTGTGTTGTCTTATATTCAGGAATTGTGAGATATTATAGTCTCCTGTACCCCTGTCCTGTAGACCTGCTGCGATCACAGTGTTTCTCACCTGTCCTGTAGCCCTGCTGCGATCACAGTGTTTCTCACCTGTAC